ATTAATCAAACCTGGGAGCTGGCCGTGAGACAGACACATCGCTCTGATGACACAGAGCGCTGTGATCACTCCTCTGAAACAGTTTATTGATGCATAAATTAACTTAAAATGCAGAAATCTGCCGACAGAATATGTTCGCTTTTACTATCCTGGTGCCTGCAGTTTAGATTGTACCAGTTAGTTCTGACGCACTAGACGTTGATGGCGCCAATGATCTGCATTGGATGGCGCACACGACGTAAAAAAAAAATGTATGAACATTAAACCAGTGGTAATCAATTAAAAATCATTGGGGTCCGAATAAAGAAAATCATCAACCAGTAAAGGTCTGCAGACATTTTTAATGATCTGTTACTTTGAACAGAATTTAACACTGAAAATAAAATTAGGGAACATTTTTCCATTTTAAAATCTAAAGTGTTTTTTGAAGTAGAGAACAGCAATCTTTCAGTTTGGTATATAGACAACTTTCTGATTCACATATTTTATGAAACACCTGAATTGACCGTTTGTTATTTTTCTTTTTTCTGGCTAACTGAGAGCAGTGGGCTTTGGCTGCCCTGCAAGGCTTTAACCCTGGGTTTGAATGTAGACAAAGCCATTCTCAAGAACATAACAGGAAAAAGAATGGCAAGAAGATCCGGTTTGTCAAATTGAAATATAGTAACAGCAGATCGGTAACTACAAATTAGAACATAATTCTTATATATTTCAAAAAACTAACAACGTATATTTAAAAGATTAGATGCAAACTACTGGTACTTCAACAGACCAGGAAGCAGATTTATCATCTCAATCAGAAGCCACACATCTGCTGGATGCTGATAAGGATTTTTTTATATGTCATATTGAATTAAGCATTCATTTCTGCATGTTTTGCTCCTACGAATTTAATGACAATATAACGCATGCTCTCCTAAAGCTCAGAGGATAAGTCTGAGCACAGCAATACGGGAGGAACAGCGGCTTTGCTTTGCAAAGGAGGTCTGGAGCGCTGGATGAACAGGAGAATCCATGATCTCTGCATTAAACCGAAGCCGAGTAACGAGTAACGTTTGTTTTAAAAATTTAAGAAATAGAAAGTACAGATATTTGTGTGAAAATGTAATAAGTAGAAGTCAGAGGTAGGAAAATAAGTAATGGAGTAAAGTAGAGATACCTAAAAAGTGTACTTAAGTACAGTAACAAAGTATTTGTACTTCGTTACTTGACACCTCTGTAAGACATTTATGCTTTTTGTGCTTCAGGAGTTCTAGGGTTCAGAGCTTTGGACATTTCTGCTCCTCTGGTTCCAGTTTCTGCAGCAGATATCTAATTTTTTTCCCATCTTACCAAGTATTTTGGCTGATTGGAAAACAAACATTGTACAGCTGCAAATGTAACGAAATAAAGCAGATTATGTGGTTAATTGAGCCATGCCTTAGAAGAAACGGCACTGATGTGCTGCTGTGTTGAATAGTACACCAGCATGAGATCAAAGGTAAATGATTCTTGGTGTATATCGGCCTCATAGTTAGTTCTGCAATGAAGTTGCTGTTTTCTTAAATAATCTTCTATGCTAATGAATTGATATTTTGGAAGAAATATTTTAATGGAATATAACTTCATATTTAATAAGAAAGAAAGTAAAGTCATCAGTTTTTTATTTCAGTCACCATACTGAATCATAAGGAAGAGGATTAGGGCCACTGAAAAAAAAAAAGTTAACTGATTTTTAAATTTTATTTTAGTTTAACATGGGGAAAAAGTCAGAATTCTGACT